GGTATACTTTTACGAAGAAAACACAATTGCTGAAATATAAACACATTATTGTACTAAGTTCTGACAATGATTGTTATATTGTACACCTCTTGTTTATCTGTACTAAAGACTATCTCTCGCGCGCCAAGCGGCCTTGGTTCCTTTCTCGTTGTTAGCCGCTCGAGTACCCTAGTCTCGTGATTATTTTGATATCACGAGCCTGGCAATAAATATACTTTTTTCTCTGGAATCGCCTTTTTATCCGATTCTTAGAGTAACGGGATTAACATTTGTTATCCTGCGAAATGGTATGTTTAATAGGTAATACATCAATGGTATCGGAAGTTAATATTGGGGCAGTTAGTAATGTCCTGAAGCATCTCAGATGATGAATAGAGTCCCTCGAATAACAGATAGGCTGTTTTGTTCGCTCACCAACGCCAACCAGATCGTCTTATCCTCTCCCTGGAAAGTATCAACTGGTTCACCCGACGTTTCCTAATTCTACGGTGGATTACAACATTCCTAATATCACAAGTCACATAGCCCCAAGTACTATTTCGGCTAGATTTAGAAAACGGGATCTAAATAACTAAACAACAAATATCAGGGGACAGATCTTTCAATTGCCTCCAAACTATTGACATCAACGATGTTTGCAAGGAACAAGTATTCATCATACCTTGTCCAACACCAAAATTTAAAACACAACCACACTTATTGAAGGGCCGAAAATCGTTGAACCATTTGATCGTAGGGTCGCGTTTGATTCATTGGACAGAACTGCACTTTAGGATTGTTTATATATTGGGTGTGTTTGGATGTTGATTACACCTTTCAACAATGTGCCCGTGTAGATTTGAAATAATCTAACAAAATACAAATAATCACAATGTATCCAAAACTTTGACAGGATACAAGCATGAAGTATGCAGTATGAAATAGTATTGTATCACTATCACAGATTTAAACATAACAAACAATATTTATTTTAACGATAAATGTATTTATCATATTCACCGTACTTGCCACATGCAGAATTTCTGTTTTGGCGTCTATAATATAGTCTTGGTTTTTCTGAAATTCTACTAGATCCTCTTAATTGTTTAGTATTCGGATTCTGAAATTCAGAATTATTTGAAGAGTCATTTTTAACAATGGAATCATGAGTATTATAAATGGAACTATCTATCCAAAGTTCTGAATTATCTACTGAATTATGATTAGTTAGAGAATGGTCAGAATTACAATTAGAATCACCTACTTCATTATCCTTCACTTTATCTACATGTCTGCTTTGAAGTGAATGGTTATTCCAACCAAGAATCTGTATCCTCTATCTGCCCATTCACTGAATTAGAATTCCTGTAGCTGGTCAGTAGTCTTTTCTTTGTTAAAACTGTACCTACGATGATGTTTTATTTATCGAATGAGTTTGAAGTATGAGGGATTTAGTGGGTTTAGCTAGACTCTTGTGAGTTCTTGAATGTTTAGTAACGTAATTATTGAAGTGAGGGATTATTGATTCATTTCTTCAGCCTCTCAAAATTACTTACACTTATTGATAGGATAGCACTGTTTAAAGTTCGAACGAAAATTCAAGCTAAACCATTAGACTGAGGATGTTATGGAGATGCAACTAGATGACGGTACCCAACATCAGTAAGCCAGAGGTTAAAATTGTTTTCAGTAAAATGAGTCCTATTATCATTTACTAATGCATTAGGTATCATTTCAAGTCTAAAATTTCATCATCAATGCTCTTTGAGCAGCTCTGCTCTAGGACTGTTTCACTCCAGTATCTCATTATTAGCAAGACAGGTCTTTTTACTGGAACCCTGGACTGAATAGCAATATTCTTGTTTTCGGCCAAACTATCTCCATTCATCTATTTATAATAAATACACACAAATAAAATGTAGTGTGTGTCTGTCAACATGTCTACTAGGATAGAGATCGACGTGATATTTGTTAGAAGAGTTTAACTACTCTGATTGACTTATGAGACCAGCTATCATTTGGATATAATACAGTCAATATGAAAAGGTAATTCAATGTCGCTCTTCCAATTGATTTATACTTTGCCGTCCATTAAGTAATACCCTTGATAATTATTTCGCCTTATAAATACTATTCAAGAAATGACGCCTGAAATAATTGACAACTCAGTTTCAGTTTATCTAACACATTATTTGTTTATCGAAACTTATTTAAGTAGATCCGATTTATCGTATAATTCTTGACACAACACTAGTCATATAACTGTTAAGTTGGGTATGATAGTACTCACAGCAAAATTTAAATTATGTGTAAGCAGAATCAAGGAACTCCAGTGAACTCGCTTAGGTAATAATTAATTTCAAAAACAGCAATACAATACCTCAGAATTAGAGTTCTATAGAAAATCAAAGCAAAGATTTGAATATGTTATATAAATGAAACATTTTCTGTTCTCAATAAAGGTAAATAGAAAAATGGCCGTTAATTGATCAACATCTTTGAAATCAGATTCATAGAAAAAGAGTTTTCAATTAAAATATTCGCCTTCAATTTTTTATCAGCAGAATAAACATCAAAACTTTAGGGACCAAACCCGTACAAATCAAATCTTAAATTAACACAATCAGTCCAGTAGCGTACAAACTGATTTTTACATCAACACTAATCAGAGGAGCTAACATTTATTGCATCCGTTCAATGGTTGTAAAGTTGATGAAACCCAATTCTTTCTTGTTTTTTTTAAAAAAAGCCGCCTTCTGCAAAGCTTAATTAAAAAGTATCCAGTAGATTGACATACTGTCACAAAACAGCCTATAGAAACCAATGACCGAATCTTTCCACTATGGATGAAAAAAGCTATAAGGATTCAAGGATCATTAGGAATCAAGCCAGTAGTCATTTTGTTCTATATAAACGAAAATACAACCATAAAGAAATACATATATGACATCATGTACAAAATAAATCATATCAACCGTGAGGACCAGGGGATTAAAAAAAAGAGCGGAAGTCTCTGCAGCCATATTCATACTATCAGAGGCTATCAGAGAATAGATATGGTATGATTTCTCTTTCGGATCCGAATGTATCATCTGAATATAGGTAACAAGGCTTGTTTTACTATGCATTTTTTCTTTCAGTAGTAGCAAATAATTCTGAATGAGACATATTTTGTATTCAATCTTCATTTGCTTAGTAGAGTTATGCGGCTATTATTATTACTATGTCAAAAATGGAATTTTTTTTTACCATCTCTGTTATATGAAAGCATATTCATCACTTCCCAGGCTCATTGATATTTTATCAGTTAAGTGATTACTATGGAATACATCCTAGTAATGCACTAGATAACCTCAGAAACTAATTTAAAATGCTTCTTAATTAAAAGTTTATTTGTTTTGATAATGCACTATAAGAAAAATAGTCAATTTTCATAATTGGATAATTTAATGAAACACAGGTATATTCTCCATGTTTTAGTCATTCGCATTATTTTCAACATTATCTCGTAAGTTGTTTTTCATGTTATATCATGAAATCTTATTGACAAAAAGTGTTGTTCCGGTGTTCCCTAGATTATGAAGACTCAGCTTTATGCGACTGAATTCAAAGTAGTAAATTCATGTGACTGTATTTTAGATTAGAATAATTAACTTTTTGTCAGTAATTTCCTAACATCATGGCACCGTACTATTCAAAGGGTTGCATTGTCTAGTTTGTAATTAGAGGTTATTATTTCAAAAGCCTACTTTTAATATCAATATATTTGTGTAAAATGATTGTAGGTCTTCTAATCATGTAGTTGACGTCAATACTAAAATGGTAAACGTGAATTTTCAAGATTTCCACTTCACACCAACAATGATAAAATAAGTCTTTTCATATGAATGCTAGTCGTATGCGATTGCACAGCTAATGAAATGTTACTCAAGAAAGCTTGTTCACATTTCAAACAGAAACCTTTTTTTTAGAAATGACTGTTGAATCAGATTGTTAAAGAATAATTTACTTAAAAACACAACTGAAAGTGACCGGCATAGATGTAATCATGAAGCATCTTCAGATAGCAGGAAGCTATAATTCAGTGTACTTTGTTGAGATAAAATACTTATCAGCAAGTAAGTCATCAGAAATGAGTAAGTTTTGAATGCATTCCTAAAACTGAGAACTGGCTGGCTCGCCTATGATGTCAGAATACAGTATCAGCAATTTATTTATGACTATTCACTGTACATAAGGACCTTAGTAGAAATAACAGATTATCTGAATTAGTGAAAATCAACACATCAGAATATTGTTTATTAAGGTTAGTTCTAGTGTGAATTTCATTTCTGCATTTAAATTGGTGGTTATGTTTCTTGGTTATGAAAGAAATTGTTTTGTGATAAGGCAATGAATAAAATAAGATAGAATGAATTAAATTTTATTTATTTTAAGCTTCAGAAGTTTCACATATACTACTTACTTAAGTGTCATGCTCAAACCTTCTTTTCATTATTCCTAATACATTGTCTCTTTTCAATACCCTATAAATAGACTTTTTTTCTAATGGCATTATGGCTGTTGTGATTCGAGTTTCTTTGTTATTTCCATTCGAATATTAATTTTCTTTTTCTCCCTTTCAATCATAGACTGACAGAAATGAAAAATTTTCTGTGTACATTTCTATTTGATATTTCTAATAGCTATCGAAACATACACTATAGGGATGAAATCAACAACAGAATTATTTTCTACATGAACAATAAAAAATGACCAATGAGTTTTAAATGTTTATTTCTAAATGTTGATTGGTTTATTTATCTTGTGTTAGAAAAATTTATCAACATAGTTTGATGATATAATCTTCATTCTGGTTTCTTGCATAAAGGTGTATTTTTCAAGTTGAACAGATTGTTTTGTTTTAAAAAAGCAAAATATGCAAATGACTTTTGAAAGAAAACATTTTATAAATTGAATATTACCAAAAGATTCTCCTTCAAAAAAAAAACAAAACCACACACGATTGAAAGTATACTAAGATGAGTCGAACAATTAGTTTACCAGATCAAAATGCTGAATGTAATCATGAATCAATTATAAGTAGAGTTATTTATACGGAAAATAAAAATGGATTATTTTCAACGGATCCTGCAATGACCACTACAAACAATTTAAACAATACACAGAATGCTCTATTATTAAAATCGTGTACAGTAAAATCTAATATGAAAGATTTTGATCATGATGGCAAAGATATTCATTTTAGCCAGTTTACAAATAATTACCCGTTAGCAAATTCATCTCCAAACTCATTTATTAGTGGTAAGTGTTGGCACAACATATTGTCTTCTCGTTTTTTTTTGCGTTTTCTTCAGATGAAATTTGAATTTTCAATGTAAATTTGGTCATATTGTCTGTCAGTTCTTAAATTTCATTGGAATTTGTAACTCAAATGACCTACACTAACTAGAATTCTTATTAATATGAAATAATATATAACTGAAGATTATTGTATATGGTACTATTTTAGCATACATCATTTTTCATATCAACTTAACGTAGATTTTAAAGAATTATGGTTTAACATTACTTTGGTATAAAACTTTTTCATAGTATTTATGTATCATGAAATAATGATACGAGAAATGTATTGTATGATAGTTTACTGATAAAAAAGATTTAGAGATAAATCTTTGCTCTTTCAGAAAGTTGAGCTTAAATTTTAAACTTAGATTGTCTAATTATAGAAGGAATAAATTCTCACAGGAAGATATGAGTCGTGAAGTTATTTTGAGATGATAAAAGATAATTTTGTTACATATTATCACTAGATAACAGTGTCTACTATTAGTATGTTTATATAATTTAATAAATAAGTACAGATACAATGTATATTAACTGGAGTTAGCTGATATGAATGAGATGAATGCAGTGACTCAACAAAATAAATTCGAAAATCACTCACACGACTGAAATTTATAGTACTGTGTAGTCATGTTATATAAAAGATTTGGTTGTGTTAAGTGGAACACTACAGATTACTTACTTACTTACACGGTGTTACCCCTTCGTGAAGCAAAGACCGCCGACCAGTCATTCCATGTACCTGTATTGACTGTTTCTCTTGTTGTCAGAATGGGTATCGGCCTCGTGACTTTCGAAGGAACTCGGCTTTCATTATGATACGTCATGGCTTTTCTTGATGAAGACATTTCAAATCCCATGGCACAGTTTAAATGGTTTTAATTATCTTTTGGGTTAGTGTTTATTTAGCAATTTTGTTTTCAGCGAGATGGAGTTATTAATTTCTTGCTGAAAATTTCTCCTTTATTCGGGCTTGGATCGGCAGCAACCCAGGAAAGACTCCAAGCGGAGTTGACGTTTCACCTGTATACAATTATATGGCGTTGAAATCATCCCACACAAGGACTAGAAATATTTCATGCAAAATGACGGGACCAAATGAAAAAATCCATCATGAATATTTTGACTGTATGGCCTCCTTTGAGTCATCAATAAGTTATAACGGTTTGTACTTATGTGAAGTCTGTTGTACAAGTATTCGGCTACCTTAACTAAGTAGAGTAGGGAATTACACATTGATGTTTGAAGTGACAGTTGTTGAGTTCGAGTCCTAAAGTGAACTTTAATGCTATAGCCCAGGTATATCCAAATGACGGACTCCAAATAGAATTGCCAATCATTATCCTACACTAATAAAAACATCAGTAAAAATCTAGCAATATTATACCTCGATATTTTCTGCACATAAATTTTAGTACTTTGAATAAACCTCCCGGAATTGTAATTGTATAGTTTGTAAAGAATTTTGAGATAAATTAAATGTATACTTAAAGACTGATGTTTAAATAGAAAGTTAACTAAATTTAGATTTACCGATTAAGTAATTTAGTTAAGGACAGCTAGTTTATGCAAAATGCAATAAATACAATATTTAATATGAAAAGATTTGCCAGTTAAATATCTATCATCATTTTGAGGAAGTTAAGACTTCATACTTAGGCATGCTTCGATCAAATTTTTCAGCTATTTAAAAAAAAACCAGTAAGTGAACTAAGTAATCATCAAAAAAACTTGTCAATATAACTTTGCTGATGAAAATAGATACATATTCTCTTAAAGTTTCCAATGAAATTCATGACAAAACAAGCTAAAAGTGTTGGAATAATATTTATGGTTAATTTAAGAAGTGTAATAAAAATAAGTCGGTAATTTTCGAGATGTCTGAGAATTAGAGTATACTGTGATTACACATCATTTCTATGATTGATTGTTATTATCTAACTAATGGCGAGAATCAGTTAGTTCAAAAAATAATTACTTCTACTATTATGAAATGGCATCATTTTGTAAAATCAGTGACAACTATGAACTTAGTTAAAATGACTATAAGAGATAGTCGATTTATGTAAAGAACAAGAATAGTAATATTACTGTCTTGCTTACAGTAAGGAATTCTTCACGTACACTATGCAATATTAAAACACAATCCCTATTTTATAAGCAGTTAATTTATATGTATGGAATGTTACTAAATAGTGATAAGTTGTCTTAGTTTTCTAATCCTTAAGTGTTTAAGATCAATTTTACTCCTATAATGTCTATTCTTATTGCTTAATATATTTAGACAGATTCGTGTCACATAAATTCTAATCTGTCGTTTTCATGTTCTTACATGTGTTGTTTAATTCACGAGTTCCAGTGTCAAGTGGTAGGTTGTAGATCCAGTTACAACATTTATAAATGAAGAATTTACAACAAGCAGCCATTGATTGTTAATGGATTTATCAGTGAATAAAAGTAAAAATAAGAATGCTCTCTCCTACCTATTAATATCTTGTCAGTTAAAAAATTCTTATCTCCTAGTAAAGTGTCAGTGTTTTCATGGAGTTAGTCGATGATTTGCTTTTACAAATTTTAAAATTAATAAGAGGAGATCACAACTGTTTGGAAGTAATCACTATCGTACGCGTGAAATACACACTTCTTCTTATTAATGATAATTTTAAAATGCTTTAAAAATGATATGAGTATTCAATGTAAATATAATTACTTTTATTTTCAATTAGAGTTATGGAGATGAGTGTTTTTACACATTTGAAATCATCAGTCAATCATTGTTAGACCACCAGTAGAAACTTGGAAGCACTGGACAGCCGTTTCATCCTGGTATGGGACTCATCAGTGGCAGTGCGCATCCACGACTCCTGCACCTCACAGGGTTCGAACCCGGACGCCTCGGTATTGTGCGCAAACGCCTAACCTTTTACGTAAAGGAATATTCATGCTGAAACGATAACTAGTGTTTAAAAAGAATTCGTTGGAAACGGCAAACCTATGTAATATACACATCAATCAACTTTGAAATCTGTACGCAATCGTCTGATAGATTTGTAAAACTGAAATAATTATCCTTAATCGAACTGCTAAAAATAACTAATAATTTTATGTAAATTATCACACTCACTTCCTTTCAATGTTGTTATGATTATCATTATTGTAGTAAGTATTTCTTCAAGTAAATTATGTATGATTGTTTATCAATTGACTTGGTTAAGTGAAAATTGTCTGTTAAAATAAACCTATTAATTTCTTATTATTAAGATTAGAATGACTAACAAACTTCAGCCTAGGCAATAGTTATCAAATTAAACAGTCAGTAAAAGTTAGCCTAATTATAAAATAAGATCAAAATGATCATAAGTAATATTTAATCAATAATCGGCAAAGTTCATAGAGTTTACAGTGAACACAATGAATATTTGACTATTTTCCGTGATTATTGTTTTATAGTTGAGTTAAGACCAAAATATTAATTCATCTAAGTTTTGAAGCTTAGCTTTTTAGTTATGCTAATCAATAGAAAATTGTATCAAAATAAGCAGTTTCATATTAATCTCATACAAAGGAAAACTTATTCAACAATGTGAAGAATTCGATTTTAAAGTCACAGATATAATCGATGCAGATGCTTACTGCTGATGATTCCCTTACCAGGACAAAACAACCGTTCAATGTCTCCAAGTTTCTAATGGTAGTCTAGCAATGATCAATTCATACATTTCAGTGTGACTCCATAGTTTTCATAACTCTATAATGGAAAATCGTGAGTTTATTCTTATAAACTTTAACTAAATATTTGAAAAATAATCCTATTTGGGATTAGTTAGACTTATGTTAAACTTAAACGACTTGTAATCGTAATTGAATAATATTTTTCTCAGGCTACTTACACTCCTAATTGTAGCATACAAGAAACAGGTTATGTTCGTTGGTTAGTTATTAAGTTATCGAATTAATAAAATAGAAACTGAATAGATCTTGTGTTTTATCAAAGACTTCGGTTCAAATCATCAGCGAGAGAGAGAGACAGCGAGACAGTATAGAGACTGAACAAGTGATGGACTGGTTCAAATACTCTAATCAGTCACTAGATAACTTCCAATCTAATAGTTTCTACTAGTTGGCTTTAAATAATCTAGCCAAGTAATATGTATTCAGGAATATCGTTAAATATTATACAAAAGGATGTAATCTTCATTTGATCAAATTCAGTATAATGAGGCTACAAAGCTAAGAGACTTAAACAAGCATATAATACAAATTGAATGAAGAATGATTTTAGCCGGTGGTTTTTGGTTTCAAACTTATGTATTATTGAAAAACAGTATTACCTCAGATTTTCAGAACAATTATCCTATTTCAACACTGCTCTTCAAATTCCTCAAAATAAGCAAGTCAATTTTTCATTAATATCGTACTGAATATGAATGAGCATCACATTTGCACAAGTTGCTTAATCATATTATTACACAACAATAAAATAGGATTTAAGTAGTTTATTTATTTCATGCATTCTTCGATTGATTATCAAGACCCATAGTAAATTCTCAATTCTAACTTTCATTATAACTATATTAGTTTTATAGGAAAGATTTCATGTCTTATTATTATTCTCTAAATATTAAGAAAAAAAGTTTCTCATATTCAAACAAGTTCATATTCATATTGTCTTTTCTGTCAGTTATTCTTGTCATTTTTGATAATCATTGACATTTTAAACAATATATGAACAATATGTGAACCAAGACTAGAAGCATGAAAATTATAAGCAAGATGGAGTATAATTTATAAGGGTTACATAATTGTTTGTATACATATATCAATGAATAATACTCAATACAAAGAGAAAACAACGCAACAGAATTGACGGTCGATGACCAAAATACATACAAACTGTTTCATTGATAAATTAAATTAGCAATATTTATATTTGTGTAAGAGAATATACATTAGGTTAG